CCATCAGCATAAACACTCAGTTTCTTTGATCTCACTTTTACATTTCCTTCCTTCCAAATTGTTAATAGCTTCACTAATGCGGTGATATGCATAGGCTAAAGCATAATGTTTGACTGTACTGTGTACCAAACTGTAGTTATTGACTCTGTTATGAGGTTGGTCTGACATACTATATCCATGTTGACAAACCTATGGCATGTGTGCCATCTCTGGCAGGCAAAGCCATTTTGGACGGCATGCGGAGAGATATGCACCTGCTCCTTCTCTTCCCCCTGCTCCTTCTCTTGCACCTGCTCCTTCTCTTCCCCCACCCTCCCATCACTTACTTTTCCTAGCATTACTGTATTTTCTAATGAGTCGTGCCTTCTCATGATATGGCCGAAGTAAAACAGTCTCCGTTTGATTGTCTTGGCTTTTAGAAATATTTCAGGCTCAATCTGTTTAAGGAGGAGCAGGCACAGACCTGTTCTTCCTCTTTCCAGCTGTCCCAGGCCTTCAGCTGTCTCTGGGGAGAGAGCTGAGAGCCCAGGCAGGAGAAAGAGGAGATCTTGCCCCCCAGAAGGCAGAAGTCCCACCCCTAAAAGTCCCATGTCCCCCCATTAGTCTGACATACAACATATAACAAACAGTTATGCCGGCTGGAATTTTGTAAGTTCTTTGGCATTGTTTGCTTCGCTTCGTTCTTTACACCCTTTATTTTATCAAAGTCTGTAATTTTGGTCTCAAAACCTGCCCTTGACTTATACATGAGGTCAACCTATATTTGAGTGTATACAGTAATATAAAGTTGGTCTATATGTGAGGTATGTTCATTTTACAGTTGAGTTATCAATGAAATACGACTGCATAGGAACTTTTTTAGATATGGTATTTCATTTCTTAAAGGGCGGCACATGGTTTAGGTTTAGAGAAAGATTCATTGATTTGTGGTAGAACACATTCTTCATATTAGTAAGTCATATCACTGATATATGTTATCTATTCAGGTGAATGTAGAATTTGGAGAGGGAGATAAACTAATTCTTAGCTAAGGAGAGGATCTTACAATCAGTGGTTCCTATAACTGATTTCAAAAATCTCTGAGAATCCCTTATTGCTGGCCGTATTACCTGAGACATCTGGGAGATGAAACCTAATATACAGAAATCCAAGTCAGGGAACCAAAGCTGAAAATAGACAAAAGGAAATTGCTTCACTCAGTTCATTGTAGGGAGGTGAAAGATCATATTTTTTTCTTGTCTTCAATGGCAAAGGGTGTCTTGACAAGACACACTGATGGTAAAATGGTTCAGCCACATATTTTTTGCCTTGTTTTGAAGAATAAAAGAAAACCAAAGCCTCACTTGTTTTGAACCATCTCTTGTAAAATGCATTTTTTTTTCAGGAAGGTCCCAAAATATATTTTAAAAAACCATTACAAATATCATTATCTCACTCAGCTGTGAGAAAACTTTTAAACTTATTCTTTTTTTGCATTTGAGAATGAAATAAGTGGAGACAAACATCCATAATACATAGTAAGATTGTGGATTTTGCTACCAGACAATGAAATATTGTGTGTTAACATACTTATTAGAGAAAGCAATCAATGTCTATTAATCATGATGGCTATATATTATTATTAATAATCAGATCTGCCTTGCCTCTCAATACTATTTGTAAAGCAATATAAACAGGAGAATGCAATAGTGCTTGGGTACATTTCATGGGGATCTGGTAAACTGTGAGTAAAAAAATCTGGACTTTGATTTGTCCTTAACTCTAAGAAAGTTAACTAATTTAAAAATATCTGTCATGTACCTTACAGGAGAGAGCCAGTCAGGAACTGGATTCCCTCCAATTTCGAGCAATTACAATCTTTTTGCTGATGTTGAAAGACTAAAAACTGATTTAGCTTCAGAATTTTTAATAACTACCTTAGTGTGTGACACTTACTCAGCTGTTTTTAGTCTTTCACTAAAAAGACATCACAAATCTAAACTCTTCACATCTATGTCCTGTTCTCTTGAACAGCTATGAAAAGCAATTTTTATATGGAAAAGGAAGATTTGCATTTTACAGGTATATATATATTAAAAAAGCTACAAAAATATACCTTGGGTTGTTTACAAGTCTAACAACCATTATATTTTATTGAAATGCAAGAGGGCATGTTTTAAGGCAGAAGGTCCTGGGTTTGATCATTGCAATCTCTTCCAAAATAGCTTTACGAGCACAAGGCATTTTCTTTACATAATGGCATTGGTCACTGAGGCTTTGCCAGTTTTTAGTAGACTGTATCTGTAGGAATAGAGATCCATACTGCAAAAGGGAAAATTAGAACTCATGGAATTAGATACAAGCATTAGATATTGCTCTACATTGGCTACAATAAGGGATATAATTAACAAATGATGATGGCTCCCTTCAAGGGCCTTTCCATAATTTCACACACAATTACAGTATTTCAGTTCCATTTAACTGCCACTGTTCCATCCTATGATACCATGCATCTGAGGAAGTAGACTTTAGTCTATGAAAGCTCATGCTGCTAACTTCTTTCTTTCAGTTAGTCTCAAAAGTGCTACAAGATCTCTCTACATACTGATTATACAGACTAACACAGCTATATCTTTGAATTCTACCACTTGGTTTTGGCAGTTTAGGGAGAGGAATGTAGAATTTTCAGCCACATTGTTCTACTGCAAGGGTAGGCAAACTGAGACTCCTCTGGATACATTTTTGTGTCCCCCAGGGCCCTCCAGGGGAATTTTTAAATGGCCCAAAATGTCCTCAAGATTTTCTATGGTCATTTTAAGTGAAGTGAGCATTACGTTTTTGAAAAAAAAGACTGTAGGTAGCATTCAATAGTTTTGAATTATTTTTTCTTCTATTGTTGCTGTTGTTAACTGCTGTCAAGTCGACTTCAACTTTTGCAACCCTATGAATGAGAGACCTCCAAGTCTGCTCTGGTCTTGCTAACACAAGACTTCTTGTGGCTTCTTTGATTGATTCCAACCACCTGCATTGCAGTCTTCCTCTTTTCCTACTGTCTTCTACCTTTATAACATTTTCTAATGAGTCATCTCTTCTTTTGAGCCAGTGTGGTGTAGTGGTACAAAATATAAGCGGATAAGAACAATGATGCAGATAATGAATTTTATCAAAAATCCCTCTCTTTTGCTACAGTGGCAAAAATCTCCTCCTGAGGAGGCCTCCGCAACTGCAGCAAAGCCAGAAGGGCTTGAGCAGAAGGAGGCCCAACCAGGTATCACTTCTCTTCTAGGGTGTCACTTGGTGCTGGTCACAAACCTTGCACCCTCTAATGAAGCCAAGGTCTAGAAGAAAGGGTGTTTTAGTCCAAAATGTAGGTGTAGGGAATTCTATCAATGAGATGCCACTGTTGAAAAAGCATTCCACAGTGGGGGTGCCACCACTGTGGAGGATATTCCACAGATGGATGCCACTACCAAAAATACTCTCTCTCCTGTAGGTCCTTGTCTCCCATCATTAGTCACAAATATGTAGAGGGAAAGACAGATATGGGTGGGTTCCCCACAATTATCTTATTTTCTACCAGATGATGTTGGATCACTGCTTCCATTATCCACAACAAGCATATGTGATAGAAATTGTAGTCTAATTAGACTTGTGTACAAAGACCTCTTAAAATTCTTCAGCTATTTGTGGAGAGAGCAAATTAGAAAGGGGGGAGATGTTGAATTTCTCTACAGGAAGGGAATTTTTTACTACAGTGTCTGGATGCTGGACTACCCTTAGTACTGACAGTTAATGGTAATTTTTTAAAAAACCCAATCACCCCTATTTTTCTCTACCCTTGAAAATACTAGTTATTACCATTCTGTATCCTTTACAATGTCCTTAACCTAATTTTGCTCTAGTACAATGTGTCGTTGACTAGAGTAGACTGAATGGTTTGGCAACACATAGGTGCATCCCATTAATTCATTACATCTATTCAAGTCAGGGCTAGTATTGAAATTTAGCCCTGTGTATGTGCTTGGGTGTGGGTCAGAATAGTGATTGCCATAAAAAAAAATGAGGTATAATTTTTGAAATGAACATTTCACAGCACGCCTTTCTGGAAGAATCTCTCAAAAGTATCGGGCAGTTTTTCTTTGTTTCTAGCACAATCTAATATTTAACTTGAAAAGTTCAGCATAGCACTCAAAGCAAAAATAACTTTTAAGGGGAGGGAAAGGCCAAACATAAATGTTAATTTCCCATAAATTGTTATTTAACAGTGGAAATTTGAAGGGTTACTGAACACTTTCTGCAAACTGAGAAGTAAAACACATTAGTTCAACTGTCCATCGTGTAATGAAATAGAAAGCTTGGGGAGTTGAAGAGGGGGGAAGCATGCTAACTGTATTGATTTTACAACTGAGTATTAATATTAAATGCCTTTTAAAGTCCATTTGTATTGTTTTTTTTATTACATGGGGCTGTTAGCTTTTCATTGATTTATACTTTTTTGCCTGTAAATGCTGTTCAGGAGGCAAAACTGGTAATGCATTTCTGGCTTTGTCTATCCCCCCTGCTGCAGATGAAGGAAGCAGACAAAAAGGCATTAAATTGCAGCAAAACTCTAATTGGAGTTCAAAGTTAATTTCTACATTTACCAACATAGCTGTGTAGTTATTTGGATTGTGTAGGTCTCGATACTGAAAGAGTTGTCTGAGATCCTTGACCAAGAGGATGAAATGTCACTTTGCACTCACACAGCTTTGTGATGGTTGTGCTCTCATAAATTGCAACGTTGAGCAACTGAATGTAACTGAAATGCTCATTTCACATCTACACATGCTGGGTCAAGTGGCATCACATGCATAATGGCACTGCATGTTTGCTTCCACAACTTAATACTGAATAAATGTGTTATATCATAGTGAAAAAAGTACAATTACATATGTAAGCCACTAACAGAGAGTCAGTGTGGTGTAGTGGCTTGAGCATTGGACTACAATTGTACAATTACATATGTAAGCCACTAACAGAGAGTCAGTGTGGTGTAGTGGCTTCAGCATTGGACTACAACTCTGGAAACTCGGGTTCAAGTCCCTGCTCAGCCATAGAAATCCACTAGATGACCCTGGGTTAGTAGTTCATGGGAGTGGGCGAGACTTATACAGAATTCTAAGCATCTCACCATACGATATTTAAGAATTCCCTAGGATGAAGCAATGGTGATTGAAGTGGTATCAAACAACTACAGTTCTACAGTGGGAATATGCCTCACTTTTCTTTGCAAACTACATCAAGGATTTCCTCACATCCATTATTTGAAGGGACTGTTCATCAGATTGGACAGAATATTTTCTTTAATTTTAATAATTATTATGTTTATTATAAATTGATGTTGAAACAAGAAGAAATGAACTGAGAATAGGAAAAAAATCACAAACTGAGATGAATCAGAATTGACTGTTTTCTCAAGCCTCTGTAATAAATCAGTACTTTATTTTATATCCATGGTACGTTATTTTATATTCCTTTCCACTTTCTCTGGTTTGTCCACTGTCTGTTTCAGATTACATGTCCCTTGTGAATGAGGACCTGTCTATACTGCCTGTGTAATTCCATAAGGCAATATGAACACTGATGTTGGTATAGATGTTGGTATTTCACCTATGCCTCCTAAATAAATAAACTTTCAACTTTAACAATTTGTGTTTTGTGTCATTTTCCCCCACCCCTTCCCACCGCATACAGTGCAAGTTCCAGGACCAGTCGAAAACCTGCGGGCTGTATCCACTTCACCTACCTCAGTACTTATTACATGGGAACCCCCTGCCTATGCAAATGGCCCAGTTCAAGGTTATAGATTATACTGTACAGAAGTAACTACTGGGAAGGAACAGGTAAGCAAATGAACAAACTTAAACATGGACTCTCCCTCTCCCCAAAAGAAAAAAAAAAGTATTAGGAGAAGAATTAATAAATGCATATATATTTGCTATATTTGCTGTAACAGTTCTGTGATGTTTCCAATGTTTTTAGTGGAATCTATAAAAAATGGGTTGGCTAATGAAATTCCTCACAATGTAGAGGCAGACCTCACACCCAACACCTGACATCACATAGTAGCTGTAAAGGTCATGGTCATTGGTCCAAATCTCACTGTTAGTTTCAACTACTAGAACAATCCTACTGATTTAAAGTGATTTACATATGTATTGATGCAACATCCTATAACTAATCCAGTAGGTCTATTCTAATTGGGACTTACCCACAAGGTCCAAGTCATTATTTTATGTGGCATAGTAGAAATGCTAGAGAACTTCATCTGGACTCCAGGTAAGCCCACCAGGCAAGGCTGAACCCACCAGCTATCTCAAATGGCAGATGAAAGAGACCATCATTGTCAACTAGCCAGTCATTCATTCTACCCATCCCATCCACATCTTGGAAGAGAGAGTGCCCTAAAATAGCCATTCACCCTTGGGTGCATTAGAAAATCCTCTTGGCTTTAGTGCAAGAGTTAAGGTGGGGTACCACATTTTGACCTTATGGGGCAAAATGTTTGTGCTCGCTCAGGTTCTAGCTAGGGTAGCCAAGCTGACTATCATAGGCCCTGAGGTTTCAAACCTAGGGAGACCTTGTGGTGTCACAGGGACTGGTTCCTGGTGATGCTGCAAGGGTGATGTTAGAAGGGACAGCCTCTGGTGATGTCATTAAGCATGAAACATTAAGCATCAACCAGAGTTGCATAGAGTAGACCATTCAAATAAAAAAACAAAAAATAAAACCTACAAAGTCAAATAAATAAGAAAAAAACATACACCCACTTTTCCAGGCACTGCTCTCACCCAAAATTCCTCCCCTTGCCTTGAGGATCAGAAAAGAGACTTTGGGCCCTGAGATCTGGGGACAGTAGGCTTGGAAGTCAAAAGAGGAGGCATGCAAAGTAACTCTTTGCCCAGGGCTTCTTCAAACCAGACAAGCAAAAGCCTGAACCAGAATCTAGTGAATGTCCCATGCTCCCTAAAAAATAAAGTAAAATAAAATCCTGCTGCATATTGAAATCACAAAATCATGGCAACATTCTGCCTCAAGGTTGATATTCTAATCAATATTAATTTACAATGATTAAACTATGAAGCAAAGCTTTTAGTGTAAAGTTCATTGTAAGAAACAACATCATGTGTGCATGTTAGAGTTCAAAGTAAAACCACAAATGGATTCATCAACCCACTGAGTTGGAATGTGCCATCTGCTTCTGCCCTGGTCTGAAGTCAAGGGGTCTTCTTATTTCCAGCAAGTGAGACTGAGAGGGGTTGCAGACTGCCAGAAATAGTGCAAATTGAGTCCACTTTTAGGGTTAGGGATAGTGCTAGAGAATAATGGAAATTTATTTTTTTCTGAGACATTGAGCCTCCTCTGTCAGAGAGCTCTGGTGCCACAATAAACTACAGTTCCCATGATTCCCTAACCCTAACCCTAACCCTAACCCTAAAAGTGGACTCAATTTGCACTATTTCTGGCAGTCTGCAACCCCCCTGAGTGACATTGGGCCTTTGCAGACTGCTAGAAATAGTGCAAATTGATGCAATATTTTTTTCTGAGACATTGAGCCTTCTCTGTCAGAGATCTCTGGTGCCACAATAAAGTACAGTTCCCATTATTCTCTAGCACTGAGTCAGGGCAGTTAAAGTGGACTCAATTTGCACTATTTCTGGCAGTCAGTTAGAAAGAATGAAGTTGAGTGACCTTGCACTCTTAATCATGCTGCTCATAAAAAGAAAGGGAAAAGTATATTTATCCTGCTATTGATATGAAATACCCTTTCTAAATATGCTTTTGAAACTGTATTGCACATGAATTAATCCTGATGTAAGGACTACTTTGGTTTTTGTTGTTGATGATGATGATGATGATGTTGTGTGACTTCAAGTCATTTCTGACTTATGGTGACCCTAATGTGAACCTATCTCAGAATTTTTTTCTGCAGGTTTCTTCAGAGGCAGTTTGCCATTGCCATCCTCTGAGCAATGTCCATTGCTGAGATTGTGGAGATTATAACACAGGAGGCTTTCATCCTCCTCCCATCATTAAATCATATTTAAATCACTGTGATAGTGCAATCAGGGTTCACACCCCCATGCTTTCCTCCCATCCTTCTCCCCTAATTAAAGTGTAATTGAGACTTACCAGTGCACTTGTCCCGTCAGTAAAGCATCATTGAGCCACCATTTAGCGATAACAGGAACTTTAATTGCAAGAGAAGTATGGGAGAAAAGTGTGTATGTGTGAACCCCATTCACATTATTACAATGATTTAAACCTGATTTAATGATGGGAGGAAGACAAAAGCCTCCCATGTGATAATCTCCTCTGTGATGTGCCCATGGTCATCTAATGGGTTTTCATCACTGATCAGAGATTCGAACTCTAGGCTCCAGAGTCATAGTCGTAGTTGAATTCAGCTTAAATTAGATCCTGGAAAAATTAGCTTTTTGGACAACAGCTCAGAAATCTGCCAGCCAGTATGGCTAGTTTCTTTTCCAAAGTCTGTTTTAAATACTAACATACAGGGACACTTCACTCTACACACTATGGGCCTTTGCAGACTGGTAGAAATAGTGCAAATTGAGTCCACTTTAAGGGTTAGGGTTAGGGAATCATGGGAACTGTATTTTATTGTGGCACCAGAGCTCTCTGACAGATAAGGCTCAATGTCTCAGGGGGGGAAAAAACAATTCCCATGATTCTCTAGCACTAACCCTAACCCTTAAAGTGGACTCAATTTGCACTATTTCTGGCAGTCTGCAAAGGTCCTATGATTCCTCTAACAGCCGTGATTCTGTCCTATGGGATCCTGGGATTTGCAGTTCTGGGGAAAGCATTTGTAATTCCCAACTAGATATCTCCCCAAACCACATATCCCATGATTCTATAGGATCGAGCCATGGTAGTTAAAGTGGAATCATAGTGCTACCACTGTGTTGTGTGAATGAGCCCAGAATGATTGGATTAAAATCAAGGAGATGTAAGACTAAACACATCTTTAAGATGGCCAGTATGCATGATAACTGCTATGAATGAATGACTTTGCTTGTCTCTGGGTGCATAAAACAAAATGTGAAATACCAGTTTCAGCCCTTAGTATCATGTTCTGATCTGTATAATAATTATTTGCAGTAGTAATGTTTTCAATTTTCTTTGTGCCCAGAATATAGAAGTTAATGATCTATCATACAAGTTGGAAGGGCTAAAGAAATTCACAGAATATACCCTACGATTTCTGGCTTACAATCGCTACGGACCTGGAGTGTCATCGGAAGACCTGACAGTCAGAACCCTTTCAGATGGTAAGACAGAGCTAATGATATATACCAACAGAAAAGGGAAGGGAAGAGAATCAATAAAATTTATCTTTTTACTCATTTTAAAATCTTCCTCTTAGTCTTCAATATCACCATATCAAGTTGGCATTTATACATCAAACGTAGGATAGATGCCCCATTGGTGGAATGGGGAGAAATGCCCAATAAGAAAACTGGATAATTGACTGGCAAGCTTAATCAGTAACTTGCCAGTTGGATGTACTTTGAAATGACTGCTGTGCAAAGGTGTAAACCTAACAAAAGCATTTGCAGCCTAGAGATCTGGCTGGGTAACTGTAGAATTTCCTTATGGTGAGAACTGTTTAATTGCAGAATGGACTGCCTCAAAAGGTGGATTCTTTATGATTTGGGTTTTTGAAACAAAGGCTGGATGGTCATCTATGAAGGACTCTTAGCTATGTATTACTGAGCTAGGAGGGCACTGTGCAGGATGGCCCTTGGGATTCTCTCAATCTCTATAGTTATATATGGTCTATCATTCTTTAACTACAAAGAAGAGCATTCCAGATAGTTATGAGGTGAGAACCAGTGGAAATAGATAACACTGTGATCAGTGTGGGCCATGGTTAGGAGCCATTAATGCAGTTTTCTGAAAGTAACATTTTCAAAGAGGAACTGGACTTGAAGTCAGGGATTACTGTAGTGAGGATCAAGGAAGGCAGTTCTTAGCATTCAAGGGGAATAGGAATTGAGATTACAAACATCCTCATTCACTGCTTGTGATA